CTCTCTCTCTCTCTCTCTCTCTCTCTCTCTCTCTCTCTCTCTCTCTCTCTCTCTCTCTCTCTCTCTCTCTCTTCTACTTTACCCATGTCTCCTTCCCATACACAAAGACCACCACCACTTCTGCTGACCCTCTCCAAGCCCAGCCCGGCTATGGCTGGCTATGGCGCTGCCCACAGCAGCGCCCTACTTCTGCATGACCGCACATGCGCACACACACGCACCAGACACTAGCGCAGAAGCCTGCGAGCGCTAGCTCCAGCAGCGCTGCCGCATCAGCATGTAAGTGCCCGAATGAATGCCCTTGCGCCCGACCCTTTCCTATACGGAAAGTGGCGGGCGATTTGCCTTGCCAGTACCACGCGAGACCGAGTTGCCAGTAGCTTCAGTTTCGGCTAAAGTGTCTGCGCCCAGGCCCGTTCAGACAATGGCCCTAGACCGGATTGGTTAGGCATGCCCAACCACCCAGGCACAAGCGGGCGATACTCCCTGCTTCTACCACGTTGCTGGAAGAGCCTGGGAGGCTCACGAATATTGTGGATTCTTATGAGCAAGGCGGATGTAACCAACTGGCGCCTGGCAATTGTCTAGCGCTGACCAAGATTCGCAAAAATTGACGAGTTTAGAGGCCCGCCTTCACTTAGGGCGGGCATGTGCCAGGTGCAGGGCCTTATGCGGTTATGTCAAGGAATCAAACCCTCACACTCCCTCCTCCTTTACTTCGATACCCCTCTGAGAAGTCTTTACAGAGCAGGCTGCTTCCGTTTCAAATTTCTTTCATAACTGGAGATAATTTGGGGAGCAGTCTTGATTAATTCTTCTCTTGTGAACCACCAGTCTTCTCTAGGATCGATGTGATGTCTGAACCACACCCGGTACTGCATCTGTGCCTTTGGAGGACATCCTCTTCCTGGAGGTTTGGGCACAGGCATCAGCTTGTGCTCAACGATGTCATCAATGTCCACATGTTCATCCATGGTTGGGGGCAGCGACAATATCCTGGAGGGAAACTAATCAGTAAGAGCGAAAGGTGCCAACTTGGATGCATGGAAGACTGGGTGAGTTCATAGGTGACCAGGGATGCGAATAACATATGTTGGTCCATCTGGTTGATCTCCCACTACATCTAAGACCTCCCAGGGCCCAAAGTATTGTGGCATCAGTTTGTGTGAAATCCCCAACTCTTGCCCCAGTTCATATCATTTTACCCAGACTCGTTCGCCGACCTGAAACTCTGACGGTCGTTTGTGTCTGTTCTCGGATGCAACCATGGCATCTTGAGCTTTCCTGATGTTCTCTACAGCCTACTACAGCATCTGTTCGTATTTGACAGCAAACTCTATGCTGTCAGGTGCTGCAGTTGGCTGATTTTCAGGCCACTACCCGGTTTATTTGTTCAGCCTGGCCATTTGACTCAGGGTGGTTCCCTGATCTCGTTTGCAGTCGGGTACCTATCTGTTGGCCTGTACATTGCCACAGTTCGCTAGTGAGTCTGACATCCTGGTCGCTTACAATAGATTTAGGGAGGCCAAAGTCACGTACCAGTTGTCCATAAATAGCTTGATGACGTGGTCAATCCTAGCTGTCTCGGGCATAGCTATTAGTCTAGCATACTTAGTAAATTTATCCACAATGACAAAGATGTGGCGTTTACCGCTCTTGCTGGTCATAAGGGTATCCATGAAATCCATGGATACACTTTGACCTGGACCAGCAGGAATGGTAAGGGCTTGATAAGCCCAAGTGGTGTCTGCGTTCGTGGCTTGTCACGCTGACAAATCTGGCAAGTTTCCACATACTTGTTTGCATCATCCATCATTGTGGGCCACCAAAATTTCTGCACTAAGTTTGCTGCTGTCTTTTTATAGCCAAAATGACCAGCTGCATCGTGACACTCTCCTAAAAATAGACTCCGCAAAAACTCTCTATTCGGTACGCACAACGTTTATTCCCAGCCTTCTCAAGGAACAACAGCCCGTCAACCAGCTCAAACTCATTGGAAGTGGCCTTGTCTTTAGCGTCCAGTTTGCAAATGATCTCAGACATGACTATATCTTCTTGATAGGCTTCCACCATGGTCAGAGTTACATCGTCAGAAACTCCAAACTCTGTTACTAGCGCGCCCAGATAGTCGGCCCTACGCGACAACGCATCAGCCACTTTATTGTACTCCCCCTTGCGAGGATCAAGCTGAAAATCATACATATCTATGACTTGAATTCACCTTTTGAGTGCATTGGAGAGCTCGGGTTGTGTCTTAATCCAGCGCAAAGTCTTATGGTCAGATCTCAGACAAAAGAATATGCCTAGGAGGTATTGTTTTTAGTGTACTAGCGCTCTATAAAGTGCATAGAGTTCGCACTCATACGTGGTCTTAGCTACTTTATGAGACGGCATCTTTTTGCTCATGTAC